TCATGCTGCACCCTCATGCTGCACCCCTCATGCTGCACCCCTCATGCTGCACCCCTCATGCTGCACCCTTCATGCTGCACCCCTCATGGTGCACCCTCATGCTGCACCCTCATGCTGCACCCTTCATGCTGCACCCTCATGCTGCACCCCTCATGCTGCACCCCTCATGCTGCACCCCTCATGCTGCACCCTTCATGCTGCACCCTCATGCTGCACCCTCATGTTGCACCCTCATGCTGAACCCTCATGCTGCACCCTCATGCTGCACCCTCATGCTGCACCCCTCCTGAGACAGAACCCTGGTACAGTCTTTCAACAAGACAATCATGTCCACACGGGGCGTTTGTGTCGAGTCATGTTGTGGTCCTGCTGGGGTCAGCCAGATCCCCAGTCGTTCCCTAGTCCAACGTGACGTTCAACAAGAGCAGTTTGATTTCATTCCTGGGCGGTTAACTTTTTTTAAAATCATTGAGTGTATTGGTTGCTGATTTGATGAAACTTCTATCTGAAATTATTTTGATGTACGTTGTTTTTAAATTAATTAACTTTTCTATTTGGCATACAGACTTTATGTTTTCACTGTAAATGATCAGCAACAGTAGTGAGGGTTCATTTCATCACCTTCATCTGGATCTATAGCCTGTATCCGAGTGAGTAGGGCCTTGATGGATGTGTCTTCATACACACTGGTGGTGTACTGTGACATGGTGAAGCTAGGGGGGTTGTCATTCACATCAGTCACCGTCAGATGAACCTCAGCACTGCACCAACGTCCTCCACCATCAGCTGCTTGAGTTATTAACTTATAATTAGGTGTCATCTCATGGTCCAGCGTTACTGATGACTTGATCTCACCTGGGCAGGGAACAAACGTTACAACACATAAAAAAATTAAAAAAAAAAACAGGGAATCAAAGCGTACTACAGAAACTCCAATTCGTGACAATTGACAACACAGCACACACAAGTGTATTTCCAAAGCTACAAAATATTCTTACCAGTGTCTGGGTCTATGCTAAAGTCCTGGGATCCAGAACCGTGTAGAGAGTAGTAGATCCGAGCACTGTTCCCTACATCTGCATCGGTGGCTCCGACTCTCAGCAGCACACTGTTGACCGGTAGGTTCTCTGGAACGCTGGCAGTGTAGACCGCCTGCAAACAGAAGTCAAACACACACGAACACAAACCCATGAAGTGACGATGGAGAAAAACTGTCGAAGCTTGTTCGGCATCAACCGTAGAACCGTTATCGCTTTTATGGAGGTGAAGTGAAGAAGACACATTATCAAGGTCACCTGGTCACAGACAGGGTCGTTGTCGTTGATGTCCATCACTGCAACCTCCACAGTTGTCTGGGAAACAAAAAGTCCATCACTCGCTGTGACGTTGATGATGTAGAGGTTGCACTCTTCCCGGTCCAATGGGCCCTTCACGTACATCTTCCATTCTCCTTGAACCAAACCGAGCGCAAACACGCCACGATGATTCCCGCCTGGATGACACAGACATGTCAGGCAGACTCAAGAACCATCTTGGCTCATGTTTAGTCAATCATTATTTCTGATGTATCTGTGAAAACATGTCTCTGTTCTCCAAGTGACCAATGATAGACAGGTGCATCTTCTACCTGGCTACCTACCTTGGCTTTTAACCAAAACCTGGAAAGCAAGAGAACTACTCTAGGTCTATCCCCAGTTCCTGACATCTAGTCTTTTTCATTTTGTACTTTAGACAAACTTCATGCTGAGAATCTAACATATTTTTTATTTTTAGAAGTAGGCTACTAGTTTCAGTCCTGGGGCTCCACAAGGATTATTCTAACCCACACACGTGGGTTTCACTCTAAAATCCATTTTCGTTGGTCCAGAGTTTCCAGACTCAGACTGTCATCCTGCCAGAGCTCATCATTTCATTGATTTCATCTCACCGTAAGAACAGATTGTTACTGACAGAGCTGGCCTGGCAGCACCAACAGGTGTAGGGTCAAGAGAAGGGAAGTAAAGAATAACCATGAAATATAGAAGTCATTCAGAAGGAAACACAAATTACATTAACAACAGTTCATTGTCAAAGTTAAACAACAACAATAGTAAGCATGAAAACATTTGTAAGTATCTTTAAAAACAGCTTTTAAATGATTTTTAACACCAGAAACTGAGACAAGTGAGGTCAGACCCAAAGTTTTCTGAAGCAGCTTCCAGTCAGACGGAGCAGCAGAGACAGACTTGGTCTTTAGATTGTTAACCACAAATACTGAGAAGATCGGCTGTTGTACTTCCAAACCACTGCTAGTTGCAGCAGACTAGTTCAGAGTCAGAGTCAGAGTCAGAGTTTCTTTATTGTCATTCGCACCTCATGTGGTACATGTGGTGGAACGAAATTATGTACACAGGGTCCCAGTTACATCCAACAATAAAATGTATAAGAAAATATGGAGGTGAATAATCAGCAACATCTTATAAATGAGGGTAAACCAAAGGACACCCTTACAAGCATGTCTGTAAATTATGTCTCCATAATCCAACAGAGAATGGGTTTTTTCAACAATGGTGCATTTTGCAGTCAATGTAAACAAAGATCTATTTCTACATAGATAACCAAGTCTGAGCTCTAACCTTACATTGTAAAACACTAACATGATGTGAAAAGGACAGAGCTCCATCAATACAAATTCACAAATATGTATAAACTGTTACCTCTTCTATGATATCACAGTTTACAGTGGTGAAGTCCATCGAGGTGGGTATGGTTCCTCCTCCATGACTGAACCACATAAATTTAGTTTTCTTGACATTTAAGGACAAATTTAAGTCAGACCTTCTGGATTTCAAGAAAACCACATGCAGGGGACTTCACAACCTCATCCAGAGTAGAACCAAAAGCATATCAACTAGTGTCACCACAACTGCAGTTTAACTTTAATTGACAAAAGTTTTTTTTATCTTAAATTTGTGCTAAAATCTCATCTCGTCTGGCGGTGTAAGTGTTTTGTTACCTTTAGTAAAACTTAAACTTGTGTTATAAACTGGCTTTACAACCTAATGGACATCGGCATGCTCCTATGATGACTTGGTTACACTACACCAACAGGTACTGGTTTACATTCTTACTCACCAGTGATGAGGTAACTGACATGCCGGTTTACAGCAGAGCTGTCATCATCCCTGGTGTTGAGCATAGCCACCACTTCACCGGGGGGACTGCTTTCCTGGAGTGAACTAATGTAGTGGCTCTCCATGAAAACTGGGGGGTTGTCGTTGATGTCTGACACAGCCACTGTCACAGTAGTAGTGCTTGAAAGTGACAGGGTCTCTCCAAGATCTGAAGCCACGACTGTGAATGTGTAGGTGGGATTGGTCTCATGGTCAAGTTCCTTGCGTGTTAAGATCCAGCCAGTATTACTATCGATGCTAAAGGTACGAGCCAACGCTTCTGAACTCTCCTCTGATTGGACTGATGTGCCAAGACTGTACGTGACTTGGCCATTGGCTCCTGAGTCTGGGTCTTGAGCTTTGACTTGAATGATTTTGGTTCCAACCGTCATTCCCTCCATAACAGTAGTAATGTAGGAGTTTGCCTCAAAAGCTGGTTTATTGTCATTTAGATCCAAAACTTTGACTTCAACATCAACAGAAGACACAGAATCCAGCTTTGTCTGCTGTGCAGTGGCAATGATTTTAAAATGAAATCCTTTGATCACCTCATGGTCCAAGGGTTTATCGATCTTGATCACTCCTGTATCCTTTTCCACAACAAAAACACCATCTTGGTTGTTTTCACCAGTTTCTCCATTAACAGCGACAAAGGTAACAGGGATCGAGGTATATTCAGGAGGAATGTTGAGATGAACTGTTCCTATGACTGAACCTATAGGTGTGTTCTCTGGTATGCTAAATATGTAATAATGCTGACTAAAGAAAGGAATGAAGGCATCAGGAGAAAGAACATGAATGTAAACAGGCACCAGAGAGTGTCGAACTGGATTTCCTCCATCAACAGCCTTTACAAAAAAAGACAATACAGAGTTTCTCAAGTGGCTGAAGCTGCCTTTAGTCACCATCCAACCACTGTCTGGGTCTATTTCCAAAATGTCTGCCACGGGGACATGTGCCTCACTGTAAAGGGAAAATGTTACTTTGGCATTGGTTCCATAGTCAGGATCCTGAGCCTGAATCTGTGTGATCAAAAACCCTTGAGTCACATCATATTTGAGTGAGGCTCGGTACTCCGTGGCACTAAAGCGCGGTGCATTGTCGTTATCGTCCAAGACAGTAAGCTGTACTGTGCAATAAGAGACACGTCCACCTGAGTCCTGAGCTGCCACTGTAAGACCAATGTCTTTAATGGATGGATCCTCACGGTCCAGCTTTTCTGCTGTGCTGATCTGACCCTTGGCATCAATGGTGAACTGGTCATTGCCCACATCGTTAACAAAGGAATAAGTGATGTGACCAAACACTCCAGGGTCTGCATCTGTTGCTTTCACCTGAAATGAAAGAGAACAGAGCATTTGTGCCTAAATGTAAACACTTTACATGATTCATTACATCTGGACACTTTATAAAAACTGAAAACTGAAAGAATTAAAAACCTGCCAATCATCTTACGCTGAGACAATAAAATGTTAGAGCCATTTTGGATACATTTTAAAATCTTGGTTCTTGTTGACTCCATCAGTTAATGTTAATGTTTTAAATATCTCACTCATTGTGTGGAGATTTGAGTGCCGTATGTGTTGGGGATGACTTTCAACTACTAGTGCACCATTGTTTTTCCAATAGCTGTAAAAGTTTGTTTAAAACTCATTTTTTTTATAAAGATTGATTGGTTGTAGCAGCCATCTTAAATTTGATGTAATCACAGCACATCTAGTGACCACGTTCATAAAAATGTATTACATTCTGTCCAGTGGTGGATGAAGTATTTAGCTAATAGATGAAGAGTTAACTAACAGTTAAACACAGCAAAGTTGTAAGCACAACGCTCACGTGATCGGTTATTGCTCAGGTTTGTGTTGGGATCTCTCAGCTAGTAGAACATGGAGTGTTAGCTCGACAACTGTAAAACTCACCGAGTTAAATCGTTTTTTCTTTGTGTGTGTGTCTGTTTTTTTATTTGATGAGCTGAATTTTGAATTTGATTGAATCCAAAAGGTAATCACTTTTAGATGTACATCCAGTGATTATTTTGTGTTGGTTCATGAGATGACAAATGAAAACACACACACATGCGCACGCAGGCAAATACATCATTTCCTCAACGTATTTCTGTGAATCTTGAACGCACTAACCTGGATCACTTTGGTTCCTGCAGGAGCATTTTCCCTTAGCTCTGCCTCGTATGTATTCTGCTCAAACACAGGACTGTGCATGTTGGCTCCCAGCACTTTAACATGAACCTGCGCAGTACTGGTGAACACTCCATCAGATACTGAAACGTTTAGGTTATAGGCAAACTCCATCCGTTGCTTACGGTGGCTGGACAGCATGATGATTCCCGTACTTCTTTCCATCAGAAAATCCATTCTTTCATTTCCTGATAAGATGCTGTACTCCAGCTTGTCAAAATCAGACTTGTCAGCATCAGAGGCCTGGACACAGGTTACAAAGTGACCTTTTGGTGCCAACTCACTCACATATGCCTCATAGAGCAGTTGGTTAAAAACCGGAGGGTTGTCATTCATGTCATTTAACACAACAGTCACTGATACTTCACTACTCAGTGATGGGAAACCATTATCAATGGCCCTGACAACAAAATTGTACTCCTGGACTACTTCATGGTCCAACATACGTGCCGTCAAAATCAATCCACTGCTGCTATCAATGTGAAAATAGTCTGTGCTGTTGTGCACATCAGAGAATATCTGGTAGCGAACTACATTGTTCTTCTCAGAGTCTTTGTCTGTGGCAGTGACTTGAAGTGCTGGAGTTCCAATCATGGCTGTTTCAGATAGGACCACCCTGTAGGACATCTTCTTGAAAACAGGTGGGTTATCATTTATGTCTTGAACAAAAACATCAACACTAACTTCAGCATGGGCACCGGTCAGAAAGTCTGTGGCTCTGATGGTCAGGTGGTAAGATGACATTGTTTCATAATCCAAAGAGTGAATTACACTTATGACTCCAGTATCAAACCCAATATCAAACTGAAGAAATGGATCCCCATCAACGATAGTGTAGATTATGTTTTGGCCTTCTGGACTAGTAGCATTAATGCTAAGAATGGGTGTGTGCACATCCACATCCTCGTTTACAGAAACTAAATAAAAGGATTTGTCAAAGACGGGCATGGCTTTGTTGACTACAGTGATGGGAAACTCAACAGTAGAAGAGAGGGGATGGTAACCACCATCTCTGGCATATATCATTATTTGGTAATCCGCATTGGATAAATCAGACTCAAAAGATCTTTTAAGGCTGATAGTACCAGTCTGTTGATTGATTTCAAAATGACCATGGTCGTCCTTAAGATAGTAAGACACTTCTCCATTGACGCCTTTGTCACCATCCACTGAAGTGACGCTGAAAATGGGTGATCCTGGTTCAGCTTCTACTTGAACAGCCGCATAATATGGAAGTCCAACAAACACAGGGGCATTATCATTTATGTCCTCAACTTGAACTTTAACCATAACTCTGGCCACATGTAGACGGTCGTGCTCCCTTCTTGCCTCAACAATCAGTTCATAAAACTCTTGTTCTTCACGATCAAAAGGTATTCCTGTGGTTTGGATAACACCAAATGTTGGGCGAATTGTAAAATGTGTACCAGCATTCAGCAGAGTATACTTCACTGGTTCATTGAGGCGGTTTCCCACAACACTGACCACAGTCACTGTGGTAATATTGGATTCATTTTCTTTAATAGAAGAAAAGTAAATGCTTTGAGTAAAACTGAGACCAGAGTCCAGAGATTCTTTAACAAGTACTGTCACCAAAGCAGCGCTGGAGAATTTTCCATCTGAAACTCTGACACTAAAGCGAAAAAGCTCTTTGGAGAAGCTGCTGTTTTTTACGACAATAATTCCACTGGAGGGTTTTACTGCAAAGTTCTCTGATCCTCCGTCAGTCAGAGAGTATGTGAGCTCTGTAGGAACATCACTGTCAAGGTCTACAGCAGACAGGTGCAAAACTTCTACTCCAATGTAAGTGGGCAAAAGCAACACTGCTTCATAGGAATTCTGGGTGAAGTAGGGGGGTGAGTCATTTGCGTCAGTCACTTGTATTGTGACCTCAGTTGGACTGTCTGCTGTTAACTGAGGTCTTCCATTGTCCCTGACGTGAACATGGAAGTGGAATGTGGAAAATGTCTCGTGATCTAGATTAGCAATGGTTCTAATGGAGCCAGTTCCCGAGTCAACAGTGAAAAACATTTTGGCAGTGGCTTCAACAATCTGGTAGACCAGCAGGGAATTTTGGTTGGAGTCAGCATCAGTTGCCCTAATTACTAGAGGCAGGTTATCCAAGTTTAGGACCACACTGTTGACTGGTGCTACCTCACTAATGGTGCCATGATAGTGATCCTGCTGAAACATAGGTGGATTGTCATTCTCATCCACTATCTGGATTAGCAAGGTAGCATTGGAGGCCATACCAGCCATGTTAGCAGCCTGGATCGTGAGGGTGTACGAGGCTATGGTCTCGTAGTCTAGAGGCCTTTGAGTAGTAATGACTCCACTATATTGATTTATTTGGAAAACTTGGTCTGTATTGCCCTGCTTGATCTCGTAAGTGAGGGTAGACAGGCTGATAGCACTGACTGTAGTGACAGAGGTCCCAATCATTACATTCTCTTTTATCTCTGTGTGGTACTCAGGTTGAGGAAACTTTGGGCCAGCATTGTCAGACAGAGTGACGGCAACACGCACTATTGTTGTCGTGGACAATGAAGGGCTGCCACTGTCAGTGACTCGGACAGTAATAACATAGTGGCCTATGCTGGACAAGTCCAGATGACGTGCAATTCGAATGATCCCTAAAACTGGCTCAATGGTGAATGAATTTCCAGTGTTCCCTGTTGAAAACAATGAAAAAAAACATTAGCAGCGTAAATTGTACAAATGTAACATTTTCTGGAGTATTTGGTTATTAGTGATACATACCTGCTTCAATGGAGTAATGCAGCTCTGCATTCCTGCCTTTGTCTTTGTCTATGGCAGTCACCTGGACTACAGCAGATCCGACTGCAGCCGACTCATAGACTGAGCCTTCATACAGGGCGCTGGTAAAAAACGGTACATGATCATTTATGTCTTCCACTTCTATTAGTACACGAGCCAGGTTCTTCCGGTGTGGAAACTCTTGGTCTTTCACCTAAAACAGCAAAATAAAATAATCAATTAATACCTAACAAACAAAAAACAAGGCAAATAAAATAAAATCAGCAAGGTGTGTTGTCATTTTAATAATTCTTAAAAAGGGTAGTAAAGCAAACACAGCAATTATATTTTAGTTTTCATTAACAAACCTTTATAATGCTTGTATTTATCTTGTTTTTTATTTAAAAAGATTGTTTGAACACGTTTGCTATGGACTGTCCATGCCTTGCACACAAGTAAAGAAAAACCATGAAAAACAAAACTACTGGAAATTCATTCTGAATTTAAGGACATTTTACTTTATGTCCATGGAGCTTTCTCAATTTAAAACTGGAGTGTGGAGTTAAACTGCATGAGATGCTCTACTCATGCAGCTAAATTAACAACTACTCCACTACCAAAGGAGACCCATTAAAGTCCTTGTTTGCCTGCCGTATTGTGGGGTTTCTGTTTTTCTGCCCTGCCCTGTGTTTCTCTTCCTTGTGCTCAGCTCCGGTCACACCTGACTCTAATCACCCCAGGTGTTTGTCATCGTGTTTCATCAGTGTCTATATGAAGTCAGTGTCATTCCACTCCTCCTGTGTCCGGGCATTATCCTTCCAAGGCCTCATGTTCTGTGTCTGCGTCGTTTGTCATCTCCCCAAACTTCTTCTGCCTCTACCTGCACGTGGGCTCTACCTTTAAAGCAGAAACATGTCACTTATAGGAGAGCCAGGTACATGCATGAAGGTGTTAAGATTGAAAATCACTGGGTATCAGGCATAATGCTCCACTGTAAGGTTTAGAACACTGAAGTCTGAGACCTTCTCCTCTCTTTAAAGTTGGTTTAGCTCATTTGCTGTCAAAAAATCTGGCCACCATGTCCATCTTTGAGGTGGCAGGGTCTGAGGACTCAAAGCAAAGAAGAGCCTACTTCCATGACCAAGGTCATCAAAGTAGTCAAAAAGCTTGTTAGTCGAGGGGCACCAGGAGTGGATAAGATTTTCTTAAAGATGCTGAAGTCTTTAGACACTGTGGGACAGTCATTGCTGACACATCTCTGTTGCATGGAGGATGGGGACAACACCTGCAAAGTAGCAGTTCAGGGTGGTGGTTCCCATTGTTTTAAAGGGAGAATGAAGAGGGTGTTTCAACTACTGAGAGATCACACTTAGCAGCGTCCTGGAAAAGTTCACTCCAGGATGTGAAACTTGAGGCTCTGACCCCATGTCAAACATTGGATTCAGGAGGAGCATGTAGCTTTAGTCCTGGTTGTGGAACATTGGACCAGATCTTCATCCTTGATGGGTTGCTACGGGACTGTTGAAGTTTGAATTTACAGTTCAAGTCCACTTTATTGTCGTTTCCACCACATGTGGTACATGAGATGGAAACAAAATTATGTACACAAGGTCCCAGTTACACCCAAAAATAACAACAAAGTATTAAAAAAAAAAACCAGTAAATAAGGATCAAAGTACCATCTACATGTGCTTTGTAGATCTGAAGAAGGCTTATGAGCATGTTCCCTGGATCATTCTTGGGGGGGTGCTACAGGAGAATAGGGTGCCAGGCTTGCTTTGAAGGGATATCTAGTCCCCGTTTACTTAAAATAAGAGCAGTTGGCACAAATTCAAGCTCATTTTTAGTGAACGTTAGACTCTGCCAGGGCTGTCCCATCTCAGCAGCTCTGTTCTGGGTGCTCAGAGACAGGCACAGTCATGGAGACGAGGATGTCTGGGCAACCTCAGGCTCTTGTCTCTGCATTTTGCACACAATGTCGTTCTGTTGGCATCTTCATGCCATGACCAGCAGCATGAACTGGGACGTTTCGCTGCCAAGTGTGAAGAGGCTGGGAAGGGAGTAAGCTTCTCTATGTCTCTCATGGTTCTCAACTGGAAACGAGGGGAATGCTCCCTCAGATTTGTAGATGAATCTTTGGCTCAGGTGGTGGAGTTGAAGTATCTGTGAGTCTTGCTCATTAGTGATGGTAGGATGGAGTGGGAGATGTATCGAGACCTTGTCCTCAGTAATGAGGCCACTGCCTTGGTCAATCATGGTGAAGAAAGAGTTGAGCTAAAAGCAAACGTAAAACTTGATTTACTGGTCCATCTATGTTCCAACCCTCTCCAGTCACCGCTCCCCATGGGTCTCCTGTCTCCTGTTGTCCTGAGTCGCCATACTACTGTCACCAGGGCCATCACGATCTACTCTTTCTTACGCCTATGTAGCATTAACCAAACTGGAAGTCAACATGTTGCTTATTCAAGTTACCCAGGTCAAAAAGTTTACCTATAAACATATATGATGGTAGCCATCTAGGATTTTGATGTGGCAACCCAGTTTCAATAGGAATATTTTTTACAACTAGATGGAGCCACATACTAAAATGGAAGTCAGTACCTGACATTTTTCAAGTTATGAAGCTCACAAGATAAATGGAGGGATGAATGGATGGATGGAGGGTATTTCCGATCACCCGCTTCCCTTCATGGCCGGGCGCAAAAAGTCTGAACTCAAACTTAAGACACTTGGTCACAGTGACAATGATTTAACAGCAGTTGCAGAAACTCTAAAACTGGGAAAATCCAGGTTCAAAATATGTCACAAAATGTAAAAAAAAAACAAGCGAGAAGGACCCGAAACAGTGTCTGCCTTACGATGACTGTGAGAATGTGTTGGGTGCAGGCCTCATGGTCCAGTCTCTGAGAGGTGTAGATGGTGCCCAGAGAGGGGTGAATCCGAAAGAGACGCATGCTGTTGGGGTCTATGGAGCTGTAAAGAGCATAGGTAAGCTGGTGATGCTCATCTCGGTCTGAGGCCACAACCTGGACCACCTCTGTGTTGGGCGATATATCTTCTGAAACAGTGACCTCATAGATTGGTTGGGAAAAGATGGGGTCGTTGTCATTGTTGTCCAAAACAGTAATGTGAATCTGTAAGATAAAAAGTGAAAAACAACATTACTGACTGAAATGTGCACAAGAAGTTTGAAACAATCAGCAGAAATGTTAAATTTACCTTCAGTCAAACTTACTACAACAGTTTATGACCAACACAGTTCGATACAGCTAAACTTTGACTGTGTTAACTGGATCAAAGAAACCTACATCTCCACTTAAGAGATTACAGGTAGAACAATGGTAGTCCTGATCTTCCTCAGCTCTGACAAATAAGAGACAGGCGGTGTGGATTTTCATGTTTTGACATCAACAAACACAGATTCATTTTCGGACCCTCTCATGATGCTCTTTTGTTTTTAGTCTCACATGAAAACTGTTTTCTTTCCAACACACTACCAGCTCGCCTAAAGCCTGTCTTCTCTTTGAAGAAATGTTATCAATTGTGTTGAGGGACCAACTGACCAAATCCATAGCAGAATTATGAAACGGTTGAATTTAGTTTGTCAGTTTCCCCCTCTAACGACAGGCCTGAATGTTATTTTAACATGTTTCACTAAAGGATGAAGCTGATGTATAAAAACTCTTGGACCAGTGCTAAAGCAATGTTCAAAACAAACTCATAGCTTGATGGTGTTACCTGTGTATACGCAGTGTTAGAGCCATCTGTGGCCACAACTGTCAGGTTGTAGAAGGAGCGCTGTTCAGCATC